TGGCATGTCATGACAAGCAGCCAGTATTCAGAAGACCAGAATGACAGGCACTCCAAGCATGAAACTACTCTTATAGATTATCATCTGCAGTGCAGTTGCTTAGTTCACACGTATCAGTATATATAGTTAGTTAGGGTGAGAATCTTTCCAATTAACTGCTAGATTCAAAAATCTGGAGATTCTCAGGATCATTGCCTTGTCCATCTTCTGCATATAACTCAGTGTCTTGACATTGTCATGTTTCCTAGCTCTTCTCCTTTCCCTCTCTTGATTAGTTAGTCCTTGAGATCCTGCTTTCCTTCTACTTGTATTATACCTTTCTATTTGTATTTCTTCTTTTGCAACCAATGTTTTCAAAGTGGTGCCCAAACCCAAGCGCTTGCCAAGGAAGCAAGGTTGTGTCCTGCTGTGCCGCTCTGCATGCAGCCTTCTGGAGGCCCTCGAGAGCCTTCCTGAGCCTTGCACGTTTGAGCTCCTGGTTCACAGTTGCTGCCTTCCACACTCTTCCTCAGCACCATCCCTGTGATATTGACCTCAGTGTGAGGATGCTCTTGGGTCTTGAGCCTTCTCCAGTGAATTTGCTCACTCCCGCTGCTGCTGTGTCCCTGCCTCCCTCACACTCTGGGTGTGCTGCTGTCACCCATTGTGTCCTCCACGGTCCTTCCTTATGGTCAGTCCTTGGCTACATCCCCAAGTCTCCTGGTCCTGGCTTCTCTGTCCTCACTTGGGGCCTCCCACCCTGGCTCCCAGCTCCCGCTGTGTGAACACAACTCCACCTGCTCTGCACCTCCACCCAAGCCACTCAGCATGGAGCGGGGAGGCCACTAACGAGAACAAAGGCCACCACCTTGTGAGAGGTCTTGGTTTCAGTTCATTTACTTCAGGTTGCCCTGAGCACTCCTGGGAATTTTTCTATTCCATTTACATACCTTGTCCTCTGTTCGCGAACTCCCGGGAGCTCCTCTCCCCACTGTACTCACTGCTGATGACCTGGTTTCCTATTTCACCAAGAAAACAAAAGCAGCCAGAAAAAAAACAGCTCCATCTGCTCTCACCACCTCCCTCATTCACTGACAGCCTCCATCTGCCTTCCTCCGCTCTGGGCCTGCCCTGGGCAGGACCGTCTTCCCCTGCCACAGCCAGCTCCCCTCCATCTGTGCCTTCGCTCAGCCGCTCTCCTGCCCAGGGACATTTCCTGCCTGTTCCCTGTCGTGAGCCATCAGTCTGTGCCCTCCATAGACTCGCTTCCATCAGCATGCAAGCACACCTTCACGCACACAGCCTCTCCGGAAACCCTGCATGGCCCTGCATGACGTTCCAGCTACCCTGCTATTTCTTTGTTCATCTTTGCAGCAACCCTCACCCCATCCCTCTTGCCAAGGCTTGTGTGTATTAGTTACCACCAGTTTTCACACTTTATTTTCTCTTGATCCTTCTTTTATCAGGCTTTGTCTCTACTGTGCCACCAACTTTATCAGAGCTCATGGTCCCCCTGTATTGCTACGCACAGTGAGTCTTTATCTTTCTGGGTCTTTATCTCCGGCCTCCCAGCAGCAGCACTCCATCCATCACCCTCCTCCTTAGGACCCTCCTTGGCTTCTGTTGTTCCTGCTTTCTCAGTCTGCTGTGCTTTGACCTCAGCTCCCAGGTTCAGCCTGTTCCCCCCAGGCTCTTGACTGCTTCCCTAGTTCACTGTGGGTGAGGGATTTCACCAGGTCTCATGGCTTTGACTTACCCTTTGTGCACTTAAAAAGTAGTCATTTGTGTAAATTTGTGCATATTGCATAAAAATCATTATTTATGTAAGAGCAGAACAAATTACAAGTTAGTTTGATTTTTTTGCATGATCAGCAATTTTTCAGTAATTTGTAGCACCTACTTGTATTGAAGATTTTAGATGTGGCATCATATTTTGATAACATTCTGATTATGGGATAGAAGTTACAAGCATAATGACAGTTTTAATTATGTGTGTATATTTTTTAACCATTGATCTTCGCCGTGTCACACTTAAATTTTTTATTTATTTATTTATTTATTTGGTACAGGGTCTCACTTCGCAGCTCAGACTCATAGTTATCCTCCTGTCTCAGCCTCCCCAGCACTAGGGTTACAGGCGTGCACCACCACACCCAGTTTCAGTGGCTGGCATGGCATATCTGGGGTTCTGGGGCTGGCACAGCATTTTTACTGAATAAAATCCTTACACTGTTCAGTAATAACTTTTCCAATTAAAAGGGTAACATGGACATGATCAAGACTTGGTCGTAAAGGTGTATGAACTGGGCAAGAATGGGACTTTTGGAACTTGAGACTCCTCCTAAATGCACTTGTGGTTATTTTTCCCATTTACTCAGAAACAAAGGAAACATCTTAAAAATTTTCTATGGGGAAACAGACAAGGTGGTTACATGCTTGTAATTACATGCCTATAATTTCAGTACTATGGGAAGCTGAAGCAGGAGGACCACAAATTCATCATCACAGCCTGGGCACCTTAATGACTTAGTGAAAACCTGTGTAAAAAAAAAAAAAAAAAAAATAAGACCAGGGAATGTAATTCAGTGTGAAGGTCCTGGGTTTAATCCACAGTACTGAAAGAGTGTGAGAGAAGGGAGTGTTATACTGGGATAAATGTGATGGAAAAAAATCTTAATGATAAACCACAAAGGGATGGGGGAGATAGCTCACTAGAATAAGTGCCTGCCTGATAAACCACATGATAATCTTTTTTAATCACGAGTGCAGTATATTTCAAAATTGCCTGGATTATAAGTTTTCACCTGAAAAACCAGTTAAAAACCCTAGTGATTTGAAGAAGAAATGATTTAACAAAATTTACTCAGTTTAACAAATACATATTTTTGTCCAGATTTTTCAAGACGCAAGTTGATTACCAGTAAATTAACTGTTCAACTGCCAAACAAACCTTTAATTTTGAACTTCATGGAAACATTCTATATGTGGAGATTATGCTTCATATATTGTTTGTGAGAAATGATATTTCAGATGTTTTGTCGCCAGGCCAAGTGTCTGGGTGTCACAGTGTTTTAGAATGTGCAGCTGTGTACCATGTCCAGTCAGGACTGATGTTTTTTGTAAGTAATGAGATATCACTCAACAAGACCAAAGCTACCATTTTGTAACTTGGTATAAATAAACTCCTCAATGAGTTAGATTGTGTATCATAGAGAATTGTGGAGTTTATTAAAAAAGATGAAAGACTTGTATTTTATTAGGTATGCCATATGCTAGAAAACACTCCTTGGCATAGTTCAAATTCCCTCTTCCTTTTTTTGTGGAACTGGAGATCAAAGCCAGAGGCGTAGCCTCCGCTATACCCTTAGCAACTTACATTTTTTTAATGAGGTCATTTTAGTGCTTGGCCATTTGTGAAGATCTCAGATGTTGTTTTCATAACCCATTTTCTGTTTGGCCCTTTTCTCCTTTTTCAGGTTCCCGAGGGAAAAGTAGTCGTCCTTAATTTCCGATTCATAGACCTTGAGAGCGACAACCTGTGCCGCTATGACTTCGTGGATGTATACAATGGCCACCCCAATGGCCAGCGCATCGGGCGCTTCTGTGGCACATTCCGACCTGGAGCCCTGGTGTCCAGCGGCAACAAGATGATGGTAAAGATGATTTCCGACGCCAACACAGCAGGCAATGGCTTCATGGCCATGTTCTCTGCCTCCGAACCAAATGAAAGAGGTACTGTTTCTGTGTAACGATGACAGGGACAGCTCTGCCAATTTGTGTCAGACGCAGTTCTTGGAGTTTTATATGTTTACTCATGTAATATAAAGCTTCAGAGCAGGCCCGGCCAGACAGCTCACCAAGAGGTGCAAGACTGGGTTCCATCCCGGCTGGCTGTGCCAGCCCTGCCCCTGGGGAGCGCTGAGACTGAGACTGAGACTGAGACTGAGACTGAGACTGAGACTGAGACTGAGACTGAGACTGAGACTGAGACTGAGACTGAGACTGAGACTGGCTGTGGTGGCACACGCCTATAATCCCAGCGCTTGGGAGGATAAAAACAGGAGGATCACTACGAGTCCGATCTATGTAGTGAGACCTTGTAGACCCTGTGTTAAATGCATTAAAAAAAAAAAGGCTTAAGAGAAATTCTTCTTAAAAAAGTGTCAAAAGAAACTAAATCACCAAGAGACTGTTAAAAAAAAATTAATGTTTGAAAAAGTCCACATACATTCTTGTAAAAATTCAGATATAGAAATGCATGGGTAAACAGTGAAGCTTACATATTACCTGCTATAGTCTCTTCTTCAGAAATAGTTACAGCCAACAGTTTCTATATCTATATGTGTGCTTATTTATATTTATGTATTTTTATAATATCTTTGAAAATGTGAGTGTAATCATGTAGCAGTATTATTTTACACCTTTTTCTTTTTACTTGACACTGTCTTGGTATATTTTCATGTTAGTCCATGTGAGCTCCTTGGGATAGTAACCTTGAAAAGCAGTTGGAGCAAGCCAGATTTGTGAGTCTTTTCACCAGAGAACACCCCTACTCTGCCCTAGGATGGGGCTGTAATGGGCATCACTGGCCTGAGGTGTCAGAGGGCAGGATTTAGCACTGACAAAGCAGCCTTCATACTGGGGAGAAAATCCTACTATGGAGCTGCAGAAGAACTGAAGGACAAAGTATACATGGAAATTTTATCCAACTCTAAAATGTGGAGGAGAATCCAGTTGGCCTGGCATAAATCTGTGAGCGGAGAATGAGAGAACTGGACAGAGGTTACAGCTGCTGACCACTGCCCCAGAGACAGATTCTGAGTTTGCGTCTAGTTAATGCTCAAAAATAATTTTTCATAGGAACTCGACAGAAGTTAGAGTGTATCTTTGTAATGTCCAGTATCTACTCATGTAAAAGCCCTTTTCTTGTTTTGGTACTGGGACTCAAACTCAAGACCTCGTGCTTGCCAGGCAGGTGCTGTGACACTGAGCTATTTCCCTGGCCTCTTCTAGTCATGTAGTGAAATAGGAAAAATTCATCCCATATTCAAGAGAAAAAACTGTCAATAAGAAGACCCCCCCCCCCAAAAAAAAGGGGGGGGGCCTGGCCCTAGCTCAGGCCTTTAAGTGGCAGCTTCCACAAAGCTGTCAGCCTCAGGTTGCTGGAGTTCGAACCTCACAACTCTCCCGCTGGCCAAAAGTGCCCTGAAGGCGTTCGAGGAACAAAAAAAAAGAAGACCCCCGATACTGCGAGTAGCTCACAAGCACTTTAAAGCAGCACTTACAAATTTATTTCAGGGAAATATTTGTAGAGTAAATAAACAAATGAGAAGCAGAAATTATTATTAAAAAATAGAATTAAGATAAGGCATGATTGCACACCCTTTCCTCAGGAGGCCAAGGCAGGATGATTGTGAGTTCAAGGTCAACCTGGACTATATAGTGAGACACTGTCTCAAACCAAAGTGAAACAAAATCAAGATTCTAGAGCTAGCCTATAGGGAATATGACATTGAAAAATTTACCTGATGGGTGTACCAGTTAATTAGAGATGACAGAAAAAGAGCCAGTGAACTTGGCTAGAAATAATCTAATCGAAAGAAGCAAGAGGGGAAAAAAAGGAGGAAGAAAAGCATTAAAGAAAAAAGAGATTCAGAGACCAATGAGATAATATCAAGTAGTCTAATATGTCTGTAATTTTTGTCTCAGAATAAGTAACAATAGCACATAAAAAATAAGGAAATAATGACTTGACTTGATCCAGACTTGAAGAACATTGGCTTGTAGAGGCAAGCAGTTCAACAATTCTGAAGAAGATAAATTAGAAAATGAAGAGGTATGCCTCATCACATCATAAATTACAGAAATCTAAAGATAAAGATAAAATCTTGAAGTGAAGCAGATAAAGCCAACTTATATGCGGAACAGGGTTATAAATGATGGGGTTTTTTTTGTTTTTTGGTGTCTTTTTTGCGGAACCAGGGATTGAACTCAGGCCCTTGTACTTGCCAGGGAAGCGCTTATTCCACTGAGCTATCTCCCCAGCCCTAATGGCTTTTATTTTAACTAGAAACAAAGGAGGGCAGGGGGCAGTGTCATGCATTCTTCAAGTCCTGGAATAAAACTATCAACCTGGGTCCTATTGACAGTCTCCAAAAATGATAGAGAAGTGAAATCATTTTCAGATAAACACTGTAAATATCCAAAAACACACACACACGCATATATATATATATATATATATATATATATATATATATTATTGACATTCTTTAGGTTGAAAGAAATAATCCCAGGGGGTACCATGAAGATAATGGAAGGGATAAAATCATTGGAAATAGTTAATATGGAAGAGTACATATTATTTTCTTCACACTTACCTGTTCAAAACAAAAAAAATTAACACCATATATGGGATATATAATGTGTATGTTTGGCACACAAAGGATGGAAGGTAAATGTAACCCTACTGCCACATACACACACAATACATCAAGTGCAATAGTAACTGAGTAGATTATGATAGGTTAAATATATACATATATAAATATGTTAATATTATATCATGTATATATATACATATATTAATCCCTAGAGTACCCATTAAAAATTTAAGAGTTATAACTAAAGCCAAAAGGTTAAAATGGAACACTGGAAGGTATCCAACTAGCTTAAACAAAGTTGGGAAGAAGAGCAGATGGGACCAAAGAAAGATGAGCAAAAAGAAAAATAGTAAATGACATAGCAAATCCAAACATGCTGATCAATGTGTTAAACATAGAGGATTAAATACTCTAGTTTGAAGACAGTTATTTTTAGAATGACTTAAGAAACAAGACCCAGATATGTGTTGTCCACAAGAAAGCACTTAAAATACAAAGACCAGATAATTGAAAGTAAAAGGATGAAAAAGTAGGTACTAAGCAAACTTCATTAAAACTAATGGCTATAGGGCTGGGGAGATAGCTCAGTAGTCTAAGCGCCTGCCTAGCAAGAGCAAAGACCCAAGTTCAATCCCCAGAACCGCGGGTGCCACATCTGGGCACACAGTGCTGGCCATTGAGACTGAGAGTAGTGGTGCCTGCCCGTAATCCTGCTGTCGGCACTGGGGAGGCTGACACAGGAGTATCACTGTGAATCAAAGCAGCATAGTGAGACCTTGTATCAAACAAACAAATAAAATATATATATTAGGGCTGACGAGATAGCTTAGCAGACTAAGTGCTTGTTTAGGCAAGCATAGGGACCAGGGTTTGATCCCCAGCATCGCAGGCCCACCTGGCCACTGAACCCAGGTGTGGTTGCACAAGCCTATAATCCCAGTGCTGAGGAGGCTGCAAACAGGAGGTTCACAAAAGTCCAAACTGTGTAGTGAGACCCTGTACCAAATACATAAAAAAATTTTTTTAAACCTGATGTGTATTAAAAAAGACATTATTACAAACCTGAATAGGCAACTTCAAATAAGAGAAAATAGTCACAAAAATGTCTGATAAGGATTTGTATCCAAAACATTTGAAGAACTCAACAAGATAAATAAATAAGGGCGGAGGAGATAACTCAGAGGCATAAATGCTGACTGGTAGGTGCAAGGTCCTGAGTTTGATCCCCAGTATAAATAAATTAAATAAATATCAATAAATATAAAAATGGTTATTTTTTTTTAATTTTAGGAAAGGGTATACAGGGTGTTCAGAGTCTCACTACTAGATCAGACTTGTGGTGATACACCTGTTTACAGCCTCCCAAGAGCTGGGATTACAGTTGCATGCCATTATGCCCCTGTGCCTGCTTATAGGCACTTTAATCCACTGAGCTATTTGGCCAGTCCTGAAAAAATGGGTAATTTCTTAAAGGTACATTTAGATGTACATTTCTTAAAGGAAGATTTGAATGGCCAATAAGTACTTGAAAAAATGTTTAATCCTATTAATCATCAGGGGAATGCAGATTAAAACCCCAGTGAGATACTGTTACTGACCCACCTACTGCTAGAGCACTGATAGCCCTGCAGGGTGGCAAGTACCCGAAGCAACCAGCGTGTTGGACCCGAGTGCTAGGAGATGGTGCGAATGCCTGGGGAAGTGTTTGGGTAGTTTTTGTTTTTATCAAGTTAAATGTCTGCATTTACTCTTGCCCCAGTGATTGTGCTCCTGGGTAGTTAGGTGAAAAAGTGAACACTCATATCCACGAAAAGATTAGCGTAAAAACATTTGTAGCACTCGCATTCGTAATAGAACTGGAAAGAACTCAAGTGAGCACCAGCAGGAGAATGAGTAAGTGCACTGTACTGTGTGCATGCGATGGGATAGTGTCCAGCAAGGGGAAGGGGCAGCCACCAGGACACAGCCACGCGAGACGCGTGGACATCATGGCAGGCCCGAGAAGCCATGCTCTACAGGACACCTTTACGTGATTCCATTTACGTGGCACTGGAGCACGAAATCAAAGTGAAAAGTTTTAGAAAAGTAGAATGAGGAATTGCCAGCTTGGGAAAAGATACTAAATTTTGTGAGATGGATTCTGTGGTATCTTGGGAGTACATGTCGCTCACACAGGGTCATCCCTTTTTCAAGCATGTATAGCTAAGGTTTGTGTGTTCAGTGTCTGTGAGTTTTATTTCCCCCAGACCTATGAAGTAATTTTAAAAAAAGCTGATAGATGGCAATATAGGTAGAATAGTAGGATAATGACGGAAACTCTCGGTGACCAGTAGATGGACGATCACTATATTAGTCTATTCACTCTGTAGCCTTGAAATTTTTCTTTTCTTTTTCTTTTCTTCTTTCTTTCTTTTTTTTTTTTTTTTTTTTTTTTTTTTTTGCCATGCCAAGGATCAAACTCAGGACCTTGCGCTTGCCAGGCAGGCACTTATGCCATTGAGCTGTCTTCTGCTCCTCCTTGAAATTTTTCTGTTAAGTGTTCCAGAATTTAATCCAAACTTGATTTTTAGAATTCACTTTCTTAAATTTAGAAGTTTGTTTTAAGAATGATTGTCTGGGGCTGGGAGATAGCTTAGCAGTCTAAACACCTATCTAGCAAGCGCAAGGACCCAGGTTCAATCCCTGGTCCCACAGGCTGTGCTGGTTCTGGAACTCCTGGAACCCTGTGAGGGCCACGTGGTCTCTGAATTCTGGCGTGGTGGCACATGCCTGCAATCCCAGCACTGGGGAGGCTGAGACAGGAGGATCACTAGGAGACCGAGCTGTGTAGCAAGACCCTGTACCAAATAAATAAACTAAAATCCTTTTTATTTAAAAGAAAGAATGAGTGTCAGAGAAATGTTTCAATAAGGTATATTCCTTTAATTACAACTCAGTTTTTATTTATTAAATTCAAGTGAAACAATTTAGAATACTGTACTAATATAACTTTCTAAAATTATTTGTTAGTGTATTAGTACAAGTATGTTACATATTAGTACACTTATCAGATATCTGAAGTAAATTTTTTAGCTATGTTGTTGTTAACTTTAGGTGGTGGAATTTAGGGTAATTTTTTACTTTGTCCTTTGCCCTTTTCTGTATTGCTGAAAGTTTATACATATGTATTATTGTCACAAAAAATATTATTTATACTTGAAAGTTACTACACATATATGTCAGGTAATGTTTTCTCGTAATTAGCATTGTCTACACTAATGCAAATTGTTGTTCATGGGCATTTAATAGATACCTTGAGAATTTTTAGGAGGATTTTTTTTTTTTTTTTGCTCCTAATGCCTTCAGGGCAGGTTTGGCTGGCTTGAGTTGTGGGGATCGAACCACAGCAACCTGAGCCTGACAGCTTTGTTGAAGCAGCCACTTAAAGAACTGAGCTACTGGGCAGGCCCCCAAGAATTTTTAGATTCTGTAAGATTCATTGAGCTGCAAGCTCATATTCCTGAATGTTTTGTCTTTGTTTTCCCCTCCTACAGAAAAAAAAAAAAAAAAAAAAAAAAAAGGAAAAAAAGAACCTATGGCTGTTCCTCTGCTTCTCCCCTCTCTGGGACTGATGTGATATGCTAGGAATTATGAAAATCATTTTGTGTGTGTGTGCATGTGTGCGCACGCGCATACACGTGTACTCTGTATCTGTGCACGGAGCAGATTATCTATGTGATTATCATCTTAAGAGGTTTGTTTCTACTGTTGTCTTGATGTACTATTCCATTACCTGTTCTATTCTATTCCACATCCCTAATCTCTGTTTGGTTGTATTCCTGTAAGCTATGTTAGGACATAAACTGTGGGATTTTTTTTCCATATTTAATAACTTTAGGGGACCAATATTGTGGAGGACGCCTTGAAAGACCTTCGGGCTCTTTTAAAACCCCCAACTGGCCAGACCGGGATTATCCTGTAGGAGTCACTTGTACATGGCACATCATAGCCCCAAAAAACCAGGTGAGGCTCCCTGAAACTGTGAAGAAGCTGTGTGTGTGGGATGTTTCCGAGCAGTGGGGGGCCGCCCCTCAGAGCACTGGCTGCGGTGCTCATGCCAGAACTGAGGTTGTAGGGATAGGAAGGTCCTGCTGGGCACAGGTGTCTCTTCACATGAAGACCCAGTAAAAGTTGCCTTTGCATTATTTGATTTGCAAAATCAAATGAATTTAATTTCCTGTTATATAATGACAACTCTCAAACCAGATGGTAGGCAAATTTCACATCGGATTGTTTTAACTCTGGGGCAGGTATTATGAGCATGCTGTAGTAAGTAGTAGTGAGTCACTGTGAGCAGAGAAAAGTCCCCAGATGTATGTTAGTTCAGGGTCCTGCTTTCCCACATAGCAGGCTCATCCTGTCACATCAAAGATAGCATGTGTTCCTCCCGTCAACAGTACAGCCCAAGGTGTATCCTCTCTATAGCAAGGTGTCCAGTGGGAAAGCTGGCCTCTTTTAGGGTTTTTGATTGTTTAAAAAATAATTTGTATAAATCTACACAATGACTCTTGATTGTTTTGAAACAATCAAGAGAGAAATTCCAGTTTTGTAGCATTTATTAGTTTGTGGTTCCATACATTTTTGCCCTTTCTGGATACCACTTTCACATTTGAATGATAGGACAGAATTTGGCAAAGGAATAAATACAACTTACTTTATGAACTTTTAAGTCTAACTTTGTAAGATAATATTACAGACACTATACAATTTAATCCAAACAGTAAAGTGAGCATTGTGACTTAAAAAAAAATTTTTTTTTTAAATTGATCTTTCAGATAGCTTGCACAAATGCTACCTGCCATATATTTATTTATTATCAAAATGAATAATTATTCAGGTTCATGTACCATGCAGGTCAATGATGTAGATGTGTGTTCACACACATATGTTCATGGACATGCTTTAATCATAATCCCAAAATTAATTTTTATTTTTAATAAGAAAAAGATTATCATTTATTTAATAATGGAAGACATTTCTGAAATACACCATTATGTAATTCTTTTATAATGATTAAAAATGAAAGCAGAAAGCATACCACACTTTGGTTCACTAAGAAGCATGGCAATAAGGAAATTTCATCATTGAAAGAGGATGAATGCTTTTGTTTTACAAAGAAAAAGATTCTGGCATGCTACAAATCTGGGAAGCTGAAAATTTCTATGGGAGGTTGTTCAATAGCACTGTTTTGATGCCTTGGTGTTATACTTTCTCCAAAGCTTATAGAATTAAAATTTGAGAAGTTTGATGTGGAGCGAGATAACTACTGTCGGTACGATTTCGTGGCTGTGTTTAATGGAGGAGAAGTCAACGATGCTCAGAGAATTGGCAGATACTGCGGCGACAGTCCGCCTGCGTGAGTAGTGCCTGCTTGGGTCCTTCCGATTTTCATGACTAGATTTTTTACTGAATTTTCCAGTACCGTTTATTTTCTGGAAGGCTTTACACGGTTGTTTCGTTGTCAAATTCTAGACTGCACTACAGATTATATTCAGATCTGTAATCACACAAAAATCAGAACTAGCTGGACTGGAAACGTAAATGAGAATTTCTGTTCATCCAAGTGTATTTTAAAAAGAGGGAAAAGAGAAGGCACAAGTAGAAACACGGTATTTGTAGCATGCATTTGATGAAAGTCCTAGGTTCCAGAATATACTGAAAGAATCCTAAAAATCAGAAGAGTATAATAGAAAAAATGGGCAAAACCCAGAAAAGGCATTTCCATAAGAACCAAGTGGCACAGTGAATAGACCTTTGAAAAGAGCATAGTTGGCATGACCTTTGGAAGTCAGTTTGGCATCAGCTAATAAACCTGACATGAGCATGTACCTGTAACCTAAGGTGCAGCATAGGCCCACCCTCTGGTTCCCAGATTAAAGGTAGTTTTGCCTGTGTGCACAAGACACATCCAAGAATGTCAGCAGTATTGTTTGTGGTGGGGAGCAGCACAAACTGCTGTTTATCAACAGAATAGCTGCCTTGTGTGAAAGGACACCCTGTGTAGCAATGGGAACAGGTGAATCTCAGCAACAAGATGGAGTGAGACAAACAAAAACAGAAAAAGACATACCACACCCCTTCACTGACACAAAGTTTAAAACATGCAAACCTATACGATGCTAATACTCTGTGATGTGTGTACGGGATCAACCTGGAGGGAGAAGGCGAGGCGAGGAGGAGCGCACAGTTCAGGCCAGCAGTTGCCTCCTTGAGGAAGTTGGGGAGGATGATAGCAGAGGATGCGGGGCGAAGGGTGTATTGACTAGAGGAGCTTTCCCATCAGCCCATCAAGCTTTTGTCTAGAGGAACAGTTTTCCACAGTTAAAGTACTTCTGGGGTAGGACAGTGAGGAAAATGAGGAAACCTGTGTGGGAGAGTTCCCACTGTTAATGTGAACAAGAAGGCCAGCGTGCGGGTGCACACCTGTGATCCCAGCACTCGGGAGGCTGAGGCAGGAGGACTGCTACAAGTTTGAAACCAGCTTGGGCTACAGAGTGAGTTCTAGGCAGCATAGAATACGTAGTAAGACCCTGTCTCAAAAAAAATGGTAATAATGAACAGGAGGAACACTGGGGATCAGGAACATTATCTCATACTCATATCTAGTTCAAATGCAGTTTGACAGCCATTGAATTCAGTTAAATTTTTACCTGGGCAGTATGCTAAGCATGCCCTGAATACAAAGATAAATGTTTAAAATACAAAGAAAAATAGTGGGATTACCTGGTCGGAGTCTTTTGGTCCAGTCATGCCATATGGTCAGCAGAAGAGGAGAATTGGGGCCCGTGCCCTGCAGAGACGGGGCCCCTCCAAGGGCTTATAGGTGGCAGTGAGGGGTGTGACATGCCCTGTGGCTCTCGCACCCCCATCCTGGGCAAGAGGAGCGGGGAGGTTTGTAAAAGGCTGTTGCTGTGGGTTGAGGAGGTAGAGAAGGTAGCGACAAAGGGAAATACATGGATCAAGAAACATTTCAATAGTAAAGTGAGTAGGCTGGCTTGGTTGGTGACTGAAGGAGAGGAACATTGTGGAATGGTAGGCCAGAAATGGCTGCAGTAGCTGCTCTGAGCCACAGAGACAGCAGCTCGGCCTGTCCTGGATCGGCCAGGCAGAGTGGATTGTGTTAGGGTGTGCAGAGGGTTAGGGCTAGGGTTACGGTATATGGAGGGTTAGGGTTAGGGCTAGGGTTAAGGTGAGGGTGAGACTGCGCCTGGCTTCCTCCTTCCTGGTTATTGGTGACATTAATGTGCCGGTGCTACATTAGCCCTCAGCACTGTGATTTTGCACATTTACGCAAAGCTCAGGGACACCATAACAAAAGTCTGTTACTAAAGCACTCTTCCTTGACAAAACTCAGTTTCTGATAGAATGTCTCCATGGGCACTATAGTTATAACATCTTAGGTAGCAGGCTAACTTGATTGGGTCTTAGGATCTTCTTTGCTGCTTACCGTGTTTTTTGTGATTTTGTTTGAACAATATAACATGCTTTATGTGTACATGAGAATCATGTTTAGTGCATTATTTTTATTTCATCATAATAAAAGTAAGTCTTATTTCTATTAAAGGTTAGAAGTCTCAGGGGCTGGGGAGATGGAGGGACCGGGGAGATGGCTCAGTAGAATAAGCGCTTCCCTGGCAAGCACAAGGGCCTGAGTTCAAATCCCCAGTTCCACCAAAAAAAAAAAAAAAAGTCTCAGAAGCATTATTTAAGTGATTTCTGTTCATGTAGGTCAGGAAACTCACTTTTATGTTTGTCCAACCCTTTAGCTTAAAAGTTTATTATTCAGGACGGAAACGTCCTGCAATTTTTCTAATCAGTTGGTTCAAGTACAGCTGTACCTACTCAAAATACCTGAGAAGAAGAACACAAAATGATTAAGCATTTCCCCAAGCCCAGCTTGGCAGCACACACCCGTAATGCTGGGTCTCTGGGAGGCTGAAGCAGGAAGATCACACTGAATGACTTACTGGGCACTGGTTCAAAAAATAATAAAGCATGGAGCTGTAGCCCAATGGAACGGTCTGGGTTTAATTCTCAGTACCCCAGCCCCAAACAGGTGTCTTATTATTTTTGTCCCTGATGCTTATGAAGAGATTAGCCTGAGAAGATGCATTGGAAAAGTTTAATCATTACTTCATTAACTTGTTTGTTTTCTACTTCTGAATTCGTTTTAAAATAGAATTAACCAAAGAATGTTTTCTACCTTTGTTTAAATAACAACTCTTGGGAGGCTGTAAACAGGAGGATCACTGAGTCCGACCTAGTAGTGAGACCCCAAACACCCTGTAGACCCTTCCCTAAAATACAAAAAAATAAAAAATAAATAACAACAGCAAAAGTTAGATAAAACTGCTATCTTTTACAATATAATTATTCTCCTAGGATTTAGGGAGCCTTCAAACCTCAGGCATCATCACCACTAAACCCAGTACCAGCTGACCAACAAGCTCCTGAAATTAGACTTCTTCATCCTCAAAACAGTGCTCACTTCTCTTTTTTCCTAAGAGCTTTTCCGGATAGAGGTTATAAATAGAAATCTGTTTGAGGAATGCATTAGAAGCCCATTGAAAATGAAATGGAAGTCACTTTAAACCATGCATGGCTCTCTTTATCCCCTGAGATAATCTCTCCAGCTGAACATTCACAGAGTGGGGATTTGTCTCTCTGCTTTACCCAGTGGCTTCTACACGGGCAGCAGCTGGCTTCCCGGGTGAGCTTGAGAGATGTCACGCTATTGCTGAGTTAGACGAACGCCCAGATGCTGTGGACACCCCGCCAGCGCAGGACAGTTTACACTGCTTTCAGTATTTGCTGCTGTCTCTGGTCACTGGTCCTGGGTGCAGACGCTGAGCCCCACATTTTGACTGTGTGGCCTGTGGCAAATTGCTTGAACTCTCAGAACCTCTGTTGCTGTATTCCCTAAAAAGAGGAAAAGAGGTTGTGAAGATGGAATGAGAGGAGTGGTCCTCGCTGGGCGAGAACCTGTACATGTTAGCCCTTAGCATTGCTGTTTAGGAGATTGAGACCTTTTCCTTTTGAAGTGTTTGGGCTTTTAGTTTTAAGTGAATAACCAATCTGTTGTCAGAAATTAATGTAAAAGCAGAAAAATGTGAATTTTTTCGGGTTGTGTGAAATGACAGAACCTGTGAGGAAAAGGGCTCTGAGGCCCTGAGGTGGCGGGTTTGGCAGAGGCCCAGGGTGGCCCAGCTGGTGTCCTCACGTCCAGCAGTCTTCAGGCAGGCGTGCTGTGGACATGGTGCTGGTGGACTTGGTCAGTGACAGCAGTGAGGATGTCCTGGAAGTGGCCAACATGTGGGGTGCAGAAGACCCAGCCAAGGCCCAGTCTCCAGAGCCCTGGGTACCTGCTATACCCCAGGACAACAGTGACAGTGACAGGCAGACCCTGTCCAGGCTGTGGCTGCAGCTGGATCCCTGAGAGGTGCCGGTGGTCCCAGTGTACCCCAGGAAGGTGGAAAGCAGTTTCCATCCATTCTTGTTTCCCAGTCTTTCCTGAAATTCCACCTGGAAGGTTCCAAGGAAGGGGCAAGTATGGCAGATTCCGGCAGTCCACCCCCTGAGAATCCCCCATTTCCAAGCTCTCCCTGGAAGCTGAGGAGTAAGGATGAGAAAGAGGAGGAAAAGAAGGTGTTACTGGTTCCAGACACCTCTCCTTTGCCCTCCCCTCCACCAAGAAGCAAAAGCTGGAAACATACTCGGGCACTCCAGAGGTTAAGGGAGGTGAACTGACTCCTCCAAGACCTCTGGTCCTGCCTGAGCCTCAAGTTAGGGCCTGGACTCCCAGAGCTGAGGGGATGAGGTGGTCCTCATAGATGTGCCTGTTCTCCCAGAGAACTCCAGGCTCTTCCCACACGAAGTCCACTGCCGGGCTCACGTGGTCCGATTGCCCATCAGGATGTCGTAGTCACTTCCGAGTGTCATGGATCACATGGCCTTTCATCTCGGGGTGGCCCCAAGAAGGATCCTCTTGCTTTTTGGAGAAACAGAGCTGTCCCTGACTGCCACCTCTAGGACCCTGAAACTTAGGGTGGCTGACATCATGGACTGTGTGGTGTTGGCAAGCTCCACAGAGAGCACAGAGGTGTCCCAGCAGCTCCAGCCCCAGGTGCAGGAGAAAAGAGAAGCACCAGGTGCTGGCAGTGTTGCCGCCTTCAGGTTCTCCTCTCAAGACCCTCGCCTCATGTCACACGATGAGGAGGCCGTGGGACTCTGGACACGAGCTCTCCTTTTGTGATGGGATGAAGCTTTCAGACAAGGGACTACCAAGTGATCTGGGCATAGAATCTGGGGACCTCGTCGAGGTCTGTTCCTGAGACCCCATTCCCTGTTTGAAGGCCCAGCCAAGACTTAGGACTCCTCCATTATGGTCCTGTAAAGACTAGCAGAAGGTGGGCCTGGGGCTATAGCTCAGTGGCACAGCGCCTGCCTGGCAATGAGAGGTTGTTGAGTTTGATTCCTGGTACAAAAACAGAAACAAAAAACAAACACAAAAAAGACAAACCGAGGGGCCGGGGAGATGGTCAGTGGAATAAGCACTTCCCTGGCAAGAGCAAGGGCTTGAGTTCAATTCTGGAAAAAAAAAAAAAAAAAAAAAAAAAGTAGCAGAAGGTGAAGTGCAATATATTTTTAAGCAGAATCAAAAGCATGAGGTGACCTTGGGCCCTGTCTCCTATTAGCCCTGGCCTCGAGCCATGAACTGGTAGGTTGGTTGTATAGTGCTTGTTGCTGCCCTGTGTGGCCTGTGGCCCCAGGCCCGTCATGCTGAGTTGTGGCCCACCTGTGCCCTTGCACTTCCATTACAGCCTTGTGCTTTACTGAGATGACTTTTCTGTGAAACTTTGCTCATATTTAAAGAGTTGAAATAAACAAGGCCTAGATACAGAAAAAAAAGTATTTTTTAAAAAGCTATCACTTATATTTTAAATGCATGTGTGTATTTTTTTAAACATATTTTTGTTTTTTAGGCCAATTGTATCTGAGAGAAATGAACTTCTTATTCAGTTTTTATCAGACTTAAGTTTAACAGCAGATGGATTTATTGGTCACTACAAATTCAGGCCAAAAAAACTGCCTACAACTACTGCAGCACCTGTTACTACCACAAACCCAGTAACTACAAGTAAGTTTTCCTATTTGGAAATTGGTGTAAAGTTCAGGAGTATAAAAAGAATTCTTGCTGAACCTGATGGTGCACACCTGTATCCCAGTACTCGGGAGGCTGAGGCAGGAGGACTGCCAGGAGTCTGAGGCCAGCCTGGGCTACCTACTGAGTTTAAGACCAGAATAGCAAGACTCTGTCTCAGAAAACAAAACAAACAAAAGAATTATTATAAAGTACTTGAAATGAAAAAATTAAATAAGAGAATAATGACTCCATTAAGAAGATAGGATATATGAATGCATATGAACTACTAGTTTTAACATCTCATTTAAGCTATTATAACCACTTAAAAATTAATAGGAAGCCTAATACTACATAAACATGATCACTGTGAGTCTAAGTTTTCTTTACTGATACTTACCAAATTGTGGTTCATTTTTTCATTGAAAAACATTCCAACCCATGATAAATGTACGTATTTATGGAGTACAGTGTGATGATTTGATAGATGTACACAAGGTGTATTACAAATCAGGGTCAAATCAGGCTCATTAGCGTTCCCACCTCCTTAAATATTCGTCATTTCTTTGTGTTTGGAAGCTTTGAACTCTGCTTTCCTAATTCTTGATAAAATACATACTAAGTTGTAATAAGCTGCAGTCATCCACCATGTCTTAGCAGAGCAGTTAAGACATGGGCTCCTAATTGGAAATTGCTCCACCTTCCAACTTCCTTCTCACCCACTCTCTTCCTAGCCGCACAAGGGTTTTTTTTATTGCCTATCATGGTAGTATTTTAGGTTAAAGTTTTATGGAAAAATGCCATATAAAATACATTTTATCAAGTTGAAATAAATCAAACAATATTCAATATCTTACGGAAGCTGGTGGTGAAACTAAGATACAGACACCCGAGCAGGGCCTATAGTCGATCTCAGGCTCTGTTCTGCTCCACCCACTGGGACATCAAGACTCAGATTAAAAATACAAATCCAAGGAGGAAGAAAGAAGGCCAGATTAGATATGAAACAGGCTGAAAGGAGTTGGCTTTGTTGTCCACTGTTCAGCGCGTCCTGGACAGGCAGGCGGGTCCGGAGGCTCCGTCTTTCTCAGCCTCCACAAGCGCGCCACCTAGTGGCGTAGATGTGCACCGCCTCGTGTTACGACCCTGCTTCCCGTGCCCATCTCTGAGGGACTGCCTCTGGGATTCCTGTGAATTGCCTGGCCACCCCGTGGTACTGGTGGTTTCCTGACTTCTAGGTTGAGCCTAACCTTTTGTGTTTGTTGTTTCTTGAGCCAGTCTCTCTGTAATTCAGGCTAGCCTTGAATTTCCTATGTAGCCCAGGCTGACCTCAAACTCAGCAATCTTCCTGCCTCAGCCACCCGAGTGCTGGAATTATAGGGACCACCACGCCTGGTGGCAGCCTAAATGTTCTCTGAGATTACAGGCATGGATTTGTAGTTATCTCCTACCGTTTTGCAACTGCTAAACATTTAAATTAAAACATCAAATTCAACTTACTCTATCACAGTTTTCTGCCTTAAACCTGCTTCTCTGCCCATTTTCCCAAGCTTGTCCTCAGCATCAGAAGTCACTCCTAGGGTCCTCTTCGCCTGTGTGTCACTTACTCGCCCCCACCCTGCCCCCACCTGTGCAGACATAGGGCCATGGTGTTCTGCCATGAAATTCATTGCTTATGTCACGCTATCCACTGATTTATAGCAGTTGCTATCAGTCAGTGCCATAAAATAAAACATAAAGTTCCAGTCTATTTATATTTAAAGACCTGTGGTTAGTGACTGCCGTACTGGCCAGGCCAGGCCCCCTGAGCCCCTGTGATGGTGTGATACCCTTCACATTTTGCCTGTCTTTGTAGCCCTTCCAGCCTTCATCTCTAGGCCCTGCCACCTCTCTCCATCTGCTCTGAGCATTTTGGGTGTTACCCATGCATAGGGAAAATTGTAGCTAGGTTTGAGAAAAATGTATGAGCAGATTCGTACTTTACAAAAATCCCACTGGCCACAGTGAGGTGAATGGGTGGAAGGGATCTTCTGATGATAAGTGGGTTCTCTGGTTGCCCAGGTCAACTACACGATGACACCATGACACTACAGAGATAGGACATGAGTGGGAGATAGTGACAGGCTCTGGTGGTTAACAGGACTGAGGAGACCAGGCTGGTGGCAAGAATGTTCCCCAGGTCCCTAAGGTGCACGGTGGTGGTGGGGGGTATCATCCACTGAGGCAGGGATCCGGGCTGGAGGGGAGATTCACAGAGGAAGCTGGGTCTTGTTGGGCTTGAAGTGTCTGTGAGATGTTCCAGTAGAGGTGACATACAGTCAGACATACGGGTCTCCAGGCCAGGGAGACAGATTCAAGCAAGAGCTTTGAATTTAAGAGCCTCAGGAATGAGGCTTTCACTCTCAGCCTTTTATTCAGTAGAGTTCTTGAAATTTTGGTAGGAGCACATCCAGGTTTTTTGCAGCACAGCTGCAAATAGCCAAGACATGGGACCAGGCTAGAGGCTCATCAGCAGATGAATGGACAAAGAAAATGTAGTATATGCATGATAGGTATCTTTAGCCTACTGAACAAAGAAGGATATTCTGTCATTTACAAGAAAATGGGTGGATCTGAAGCCGGGCAGGTTGGCGCACTCCTGTAATCCCAGCACTCAGGAGGCTGAGGCAGGAGGATAGTTGTAAATTATAGACCAGCCTGGGTTATGAAGTGAGCTCAAGGCCAGTCTGAACTGCATAGTGAAACCTTGTCTCAAAAAGACAAAGAAAAGAAAAGAAAATGGGCGGAAAATGGGAGATCATCATGCTGATGAAATACGCTGGACTCAGACCAATACTGTATTCAGATATCATGAGATCTCCCTCATACATGGAATCTAAAAAAGATGGCAAGCAAGTAGAAGGAAGAGAATAAGGGGAGTAAGGACAAGTAATGAAGAGGATGACACAAGCAAAATACATACATTGAAACCCCCTCAATATGTGAAACTAGGTGGGACTAGCCAGGTGACGGACAAGGAGGAATGAAGATGGAAGTATGTGGTGTGCATGTGCAAACGTGGCAAAATGAAGCACAGGGAGGAAAAAATAAATGTAGGAGCTGTTAATACAGAGATAGTTGAAGCCATCAGTGAGAATAAGGTTGTCTAGGAGAGGCTGCACACGAAGGAGAGGAGTGGGGATTGAGGCTTCAGAAGAAGCAGCTTTCTACAGAGGAGGAAGCTGAACAGGAGAGGCTGGGAGGAGGGAGGGTGCCCAGGAGCACCTGGCATGAAAGAGAATGCTTTTAAGAGGGGCGTATTGGGCACCTCCCTCTGATCCCAGCATTCTGGGAGGCTGAGGCAGGAGGATCATAAATTGGAACCCAGCCCAGGCAACTTAGCAACTTAACCAGACCGTGTCTCAAAATAGAAAAGGGAAAGAGGAAGAAATGTGTGGTGAGTGAATTAACGTGCCAATGAGACTTCAAACAAGGGGAGCACTGAATATTTCCATTTGATTTTGGGAGTGGAGGCTTTTTAAGAGGTGTTGTGCAGGCGGAAACAGGAGGCTGAGGAGTGTGGTGAAGGAGGTAAGGAAGCTGGGGTGGGAAGTGCCAGCAACTCAGCACAGGCTGGCAGAAAGGAGGAAGAGACTTGGCAGCCGGCTCTGAACGTTGATGGGAAGAGCCACAGAGGAGACCAGGTGGAATCGCTAAGCAGATAAAGGCCGCCAGGGTTAATGGATTGGGGACAAGAGGATGGCCAGTGTGCTGACCCTTCAGAGGAAAAGGGGGAAAGAGGCCACGCTGTTATTAAATAAGCTCGAGGGGAGGAGGCCTCCTGGGGGGGGGGTAGGATGTTTGAGTTTGAGAGGCTGGCGGTGAGGACTACAGCCTGGGTGTGGCTAGCTGAGGAGGAAGCCCAGGACAGGGTCCCTCTGTGAGGAGGGTGGCTGTCGCAGCATACATGGAGAGGAGGCTGAGGAGCCAGGGCCAAGGGTGTGCATGCAGGGCGCCACAGCCTGGAGCTCAAGGCCAGAGCAGACAGCGCAGGGAGAGCAGCAGTGTGGACACTGGGCTTCCGCAGGAGCAGGACCCCATGGCCCGCCCCAAAGGGTGTCCTCTCGTGGGCGCTGCTCCTAGGCAGGGCCAAATTAACAAGTAAACAGTACGTTCGTGAGGGATCCGCAGAAATAGTCGAAGAGCAGCATTGCGATTGCAGATATTTAGCCGAGTGCCTTGGTTGTTTCATTCCCTTATTACCACACCTAAACCAATAATTAAAAAATATTTTTTAAAAAATCCGTAAGATGATAATAGGGATCATGTACTTTCATGTTAGCCCGGTATTTCTCAACCTTGGCACTAGTTACATTTGGAGACAGAATTTCTTGTTCTCACCGGACGGCAGTTGGCGGTTCCAACTAGTATCTGCTCACTGCAAGTCCCCTACTTAGGACAGGCAGAATGTTTCAAGATATGGCCATATGCCACCTCGAGGGCAAAACTGCTTCTCGTTGAGAGCCATTGTGTGTATCTGTTTCCTTTTATCTCTTAAGTTTGTCTTTGTCTCAGTTCTTAAACTCCTTGCAGCCACTGCCAGGCTCAAAGTAAATATTTAGTGAGTGCTTGCATCTAATTACAGATGTAGGGCTTTATAGGTCAGAAGCATTTCAAAAGCCCAGTGCTACTCACATTTAGGCAGTGGCGTATTTTAAATGCACCAGCAAAGCTTCTTGAGCCTCCGGGACACCGTAGGATTCCTGTGAAGAATTAACATATATTTTATGGTGCAGATTTATTGTACTGGGTTTTACTAAGCAGAGCACATAAAGCAAGCTATGTATTTTTGGTTAGTGTTTTATATAGAAGAAAGCGATGACAGCTAAATTTGGATTATCTTTGATCTCAGGTTTAAAATTCAGCAGAGGGTATTGAGTTGCCCTAAGGAAATTAGAGCAGGACTTGGAAACATGAAGCATTTCTTCTGTACAGTTTATAATTACTTCATTGCAGTGACTAATTTGTGGCTTGGGGAAATAAATGGTAATTTTAACAGGATAAATTCAGATGTAAACATCAATTATACTTGGATTCGTTTTCCTGACTCTTACGTCTTATTTGAATTAAGGTTTAAAACCAACTGTGGCCCTGTGTCAACAGAAGTGTAGACGGACGGGGACTCTGGAGAGCAATTATTGTTCAAACAACTTTGGTAAGAAATAAAACCAGGCTTTTGTCTTGAATCAGAAACTTGAAACTGCCTGCTTGGTCTCACAGGAATTCCCACGAATTTGGTGGTGAAGGGTCAGTCACATTGCTCCCTTGCTACAGAAAACAGACACTAGGTTGTGCTGTGCTGTTCAAACTATTAGATTTCATAGGCGAGAAAAGTAAGTCTTCAGAAAATTTGCTTCTTTTACCTAAGTTCACTAACTTGATTCCTGATCCAGGATTCTGCTACTCGGTAGCCCGCTAACTATTCCTGAAAATATCTGCTTCCTTTGTTCTCCACATATTTTTCATGTTCCAAGTGTTTTCTTACACATCTGTTGTTCAACTAAAGCACACTAGAAACACAGCCAGGCTCACAGTCAGAAACGGGCCTCCCTCAAGACGTTCAATTATTTCCTCTTTGGTGTTTTTCCAGAGTGTTAAATTAAAATCTGGAAATCTGAAGTCCATTTTGGAAACTTAGAAATTGGAACCTGAGGAGATTGTACTTAATGAAATTAAAAGACTTCACTCTGTGAAAGCTACTTAAGAGCAAAAGATACTAAATTTGGTTGTGTTGGTTATTTTTAAAAACAGCTTAAAATTAATATGTGAAGTCTTCTCTGAAAAAGAACATTGCTATAGCAGTTTACTCAAAACAAGAGACCTCCCCAGAGTGGTTTCTCTGCTTTTGGGTGCCTTGAGGTGTTAGCTCCCAGGGTATCTTACAGAGAAAATGCAAAGACACTGAGGAATCTGGGGCCCTTGATTTTACTGTAGTCTCTATGCTGAAATTCAGATAACTGGCATAAAAATGAAAGCACCGAGTGCCAGGTGTCCTTACCACCATATCCAGGTTAGCATGCTATAGCAGGGGCCTCAGCAAGAAAGACAGTTTCTGATTATTAGAGAGGTGTCCCCCTCCCCCTGGGGTGAACAAACACAGCTAGATTGGTGCTGGGGATGAGACACAGGGCACAGACCATCAACTGCACAGACACAAACATCCTTGTGATTCAACCTCCTAGTATGGGATTGCCTCTAAAGTTTCAAGATCTCACATGTTCTTGTGAGCATCTTCTTCATTTGATCCGTTTGTCAGCAAGGACAGTATAGAGTCCCCTCTCGGCAACAGACAGCAGTGAGGAAACCATTTAGGTTCCTTTCTGAGCTATCAACAACAACCAGACTAATAATACAACTCCTCAGCCTCTTTTTTAGTCTGAATTTTGGGGATAAAAATATACAGTATCAAATTCAAGGGCTCCATGAGGACCTTTTCTTTAACATTAAAATGTCTTGTTCTTGAAAAGTAGAAGGCAAAATTCTTTTCCCTTATGCTTGCCTTGTGTTTTCCTCTGCAGTATTAGTCGGTGCAGTTATCACAACCACGCCTCGGGGTGAGAGTTTGCAGGCCACAATCTCAATCATCAACATCTATAAAGAGGGAAACCTGGCAATCCAACAGGCGGGCAAGAACATGAGTGCCAAGGTTACTGTGGTCTGCAGGCAGTGCCCTCTCCTCAGAAGAGGTAAGGAGAAAAGCTTTCTCTGACAGCACAGAGGCTGGGACAGGAAGACAGAGGCTCTCTGAAGAAGACATGGATCTTTCCATACCTTGTACAAAAAGGTGACGGAGGCCAGGTATGGGGGTGCACGCCTGTCATCTCAGCACTCTGGGTGGCTGAGGCAGGAAGATCAAAAGTGTGAGCCCAACCTGGTCAATTCAGTGACTTATGAAAACCCTGTCCAAAAATAAATGAAAAATTTAAAAGGGCTGGAGATGTAGCTCAGCACAAAGGCCCTGGGTTCAAAAGGCCCCAGTGCCAAAAGAAGGCTAAAAATGATGAATGAGTCCCAGAGAGTACAAAGTTGAACCAACAGGAAACAGACACTAAGAAAGCAGTTCAAGGAAGGGCATTTCAGATTACTGCACTTCGATGCTGCGTTTAGAGAACAGCGTGCAGCAAGCCGAGGAAGTACAGAGCCGAACTTGAGATGGGAAAGTGACACCTAGGCTAGAAGTGAAGACTCACCAACCAGCCAGCCATCTGCAGCCTGGGACATGCAGTGGTGGGCGGGCTGACTGCCCGCGCAGCCTGTGTTCAAGGAACTGGCACACGTTACCAGCTCAATGTAGCCTTTTGCTCGAGAGTGCTAATCCTTGTGATTTGATCCTAGGTGAAGTAAAAGTGTGATTATATCATTTATAGAAAAAAAATTTACTCAGAGATGAGTTGTAGTTTAAGCTGTTTCTTAGGGGAGAAAATACATACAGCAAAAGATTTATACTTTCTTTCTTTAGGTCTGAACTACATCATTATGGGCCAAGCGGGAGAAGACGGGCAAGGCAAGATCATGCCAGACAGCTTCGTCATGATGTTCAAGACCAAGAACCAGAAGCTTCTGAATGCTTTAAAAAACAAGCAGTGTTAGTGGTGAACTGTGTCCATTTAAGCTGCATGCTGTTGTTGCCTTTGAAAGATCGGTCTTCCCTAGGTAGACTCCACATGGAGCGTCCCCAAGGGCTGGATGCTTCACCCTTCACACAGCGTGGGTGTGAGGCCTGCAGTGCTGCCGCTCCAAGTTCTGAGCCTGCGCTGAGGCGGGCAGACAGCCAAAAGCCTGCCACCCTGCGCAGCGATAGGAAGCTCAAGGGATCGGGGGTGCCAGCTTGGATGCAGTTTATTTGTACATCTCTGTAAGAGGGTATTTTAGAATTGAGTTGTGTGAAGATATAAAAAAGATTTTATAAGTGCAATATTTATAGTGATACATGTTTTGCCTTCAAGCATTTGCTCTGAGGTGTTACATTCTTCTCTTGCATTTTTAAGTCAGCGCTTAATAAATATTTAAATGATCACATAGCAGCTATTAAACTTGTTCTTATGAAGAATGGGATACTGTAAAAAAAATTCCCTTTTAGGGACTGGGGATATAGCTCAGTGGCATAAGTGCCTGCCTGGCAAACCCAGGGTCCCAAGTTTGATCCCTCGTATTGAAAAAAAAAAAAAATTCCCTTTGAACAATAAGTGGTAGTGCACACCTGTATTCCTAGTACTTGGGAGGCTGAGGCTGGAGGATCACTGCAAGTTTGAGGTCAGCCTGGGCTACACAGTGAGTTTAAGGCCAGCCCTAAGTACAGTATATAGCAAGACCCTATCTCAAAAAAGTTTTTAAAATATTATTTTCATATAAGGTTGTCTTTGTGTTAGTTTATAGTTCGTTAAGAATTAACATTCTAGAGCTGGAGAGATAGCTCAGTAGAATAAGTGCTTGCCTGGCAAGTACAAGGACCTGAGTTCAATCCCTGGTTATGAAAAAAAAAAAAAAGAATTAACATTCTAAAACTTTTAGGGGCTTGGTACATCCAATAATATCAATAAACTAATTTCCCTCAGCAGAAGCAGAGAATATCAGAGCTGTCATGCTGTCCCTTAGGCATCTGGTCCAGACTTCCTTATTCTGTAATTGAAATGGATACTTTGATATACTTAATGACTTGCCCAGAACAAGTCTCCCAAGAGACACAGTCATCTAAGAGTCCTGGTCCCAAACCCAGTACCTTCACTGCCCTACTGTACTGACTGGCAGTACTGGTACTTAGGCTCAGAGTTGGTAACCTGAACAGTAACCTCTTGTTAGAAGTGCCATCAAATCATGAATCCACCAGTGGGTGAATCTGCTGGTCAGGTCAGGTCCCTTGTGAACCAGTCACCCCTTTAAGACCCACTTCTGCGTACTGCTGCACTAGAGACTGAGCTGTCAGTGCAGGGAGCTTTGGGGGACGCCTCAGATTGAAACCACAGCAGACTCATCACAGAGCTGCTTCCAAAGTAGCTATCCCTGCAGCGGGTGTGATGTTCAGCCCTCTAAAAGCTAGCCCACCAAGGCCATGGAGAAGGGACACCATTCTGTAGAAGGGACAAAGGACATCAGCAATGAACAAAGACTTGGCTCACAAGGTAGAAGCTAAGTTGTGAACCTTATCTAGAAATAAGGAAAAACTACTATTTTCAGTGAAAATTCTGGGCCCTAAGGACAATCAAACTTTTTTTTTTTTTTTTTTTTTTGGTATTTTAGTACAGCGTCTCACTATGTAGATCGGACTCATAGTGATTCTCCTGTTTTCAGCCTCCCAAGCACTGGGATTATAGGCACACACCACCTTGCCCAGTCTCAATCGCTTTCTCAGTGCTGCCCCACAGGTGGGGCCAGCATAGCGCTGGGGATTGAACCCCTGGCCCCTGCGATTGACTAAGCAGGCACTTCAATCCACTGAGCTACCTGGCTGGCCCTGGTCAAACATTTCATTGGCAACAAAAGGTGAGAATACATGTTTCAGCCACTAAGCGAACCTAAGGAAGCAATGAGTATGAACTGCTGGGAATCATTCCCTACCGCTCCCGCCGACATGCCTGCTGGCACGGGGATTCACCCCCTGCAGAGGTGCATGAGCCCGGCAGGCCCAGCTAAAGCACGTAACAAACTGCACAATAGACTGAGTTAGTCTCTTAGCCATTCAAGCAAGATCTGTTTTCTTAAAACCAACTGTTACGAGAATATTAAATGAGTCACGTGAATATAAATTAACTTTAGAATATCTTAAAATGACAACAAAATACAACCTCAGTCACTTTCAGACTTATTACTTAAAGGTCTTTTTTGTTGTTGTATTTTTGGTTTTGGTGTTGGTCTGTTTGAGATGGGGTCTCACTGTGTAGCCCAGGCTGGCCTCAAACTCGAAGTGATCCTCCTGCCTCAGCCTCCTGAATGTTAGGATTACAGGCATGCAGCCCCACAACCAATTTTAATCTCATTTTTAATTTGATCTGTAGTTTGGAAAAATACTTCATTTTTAGATATTTACTGTTCTTCTGGAATAGTTACTTTGAAACTTCTTAGAGGACAAGATCTCTTTTGATATTATGTCAGTGTATTACAGATATATGGATAGATACATAGACTTAAATACATCATCTGTACATTACAAGAAGCAAAGAATTCATGAATTTATACTTAGCAAATGTATTTAGTATTTTAACTTTATGAATAACTCATAATGTCTTACTTACATATCCATCTAACTTTTTAACAATTACCTCTACATTGTCCATAAGATGTAAAACATCTGGTAAATACAAATTAACGTCCTCAAACAATTTTTTTTTTCCTTTTGTAGAAGAAAACTAACTCTCAAAAGTAGAAGATAAAGTAAGGCAGATAGGGTGGAGGTCCTGAGTAGTCTGGGGTCGAGTTAGCCAAGGGCTGGAATAATTTAACTTAAGCAAACTGAGTATCAGGGGCCTAATGGAATGTAAAAGACAAACAACAGGTCCCTATACAAGTGAGAGAGACCCTGGAGGAAATTAATACATATGAAGCTGCTTGCTTTCTGGCCATCAAAAGCCTGCCTGCGACCAGGAGCATCCCTGCCTTCTACCGAAAGTTGTATAAAAAGCAGTGCATTTACACATCCATGGTGTAGCTTTTCCTGTTATCTTTCCTGTGAAACACACACTGAGTTGTTCTCCCTCACTTGCTGCCTGCTGTTCTGTCAGCTTCCATCTTCCTGGCCCCAGAAAGATTTAAAATTCTAAGATTTTAACTCTTAGAACAGACGTCTGGGGCTTTTGTCACACTGACTCAGGTAAGGTTTCTTTCTTCTTTTTTTTTTCTTTGCTCTCAGTACCAGGGATTGAACTTAGGACCTTGCACTTGGCAGGCAGGCACTTATGCGGCTGAGCTATATCCCCGGCCCCAGGTGAGTTATTTTTAAATCAAACTCTCATGTCACCAAAAGCAAATTACCCTGGATAACAAGGATGCCTGTAAGTGACTTGGAAGACCATAAAAGGACTTTGCTAGTCAAATTTTTTTTTTTTTTTTGGCGGAGCTGGGGATTGAACTCAGGCCTTTGTGCTTGCCAGGTAAGCACTTACTCTACTGAGCTATCTCCCCCAAATCACAAAGCTTAGAAGACTTAGAAAGCTCCAAGAATTGAAGGGACAAATGCACCATGTCAGTGTCTCCTGGCTTCTGCATTCCAGAATCCAGGAGGCTATCACTGCGGAGCATGAACCTAGTTTTTCCAGGAAATTATAAAGAAGTATAGCATGGCTGGACTGTGTTTACTCAAACACAGAATTGTCCATTCCTTTTCACAGACATAAAAAACCCACAAATGGACTTTTATCAGATAATTTCTAAGACACTTTTAAGTTGTTCCCACTTTTTATTTTTTTATGTATTTAGTACAGGGCCTACAGGGTCTCACTACACAGATTGGACTCGTAGTGATCTTCCTGTGTTCAGCCTCCCACACACTGGGATTAAAGGCGGGCACCACCATGCCCAGTCTCAGTCCCATCTTATCGTATCCCAGGGGCTGGGCTGGCATGGCAGGCCAGGGATCCAACCCCAGTCCCTGTGTCTGCCTAAGCAGGCATTTTAATCCGCTGAGCTATCTGGCCGGCCTCATCTTTTATTTCTATTTTTAAGGGAATACAAAACAGTAATAATTAAAAAATTAGAAATGATACAGAATTTCACTAAACAAAAATCACATGACTGCTTAGGCAGATGCAGGGGCTGAGAGTCTGATACCTGGGCCTGCCCTGCTGGCCCCACCCCCAGGACATGATGAGATGGTGATTGAGACTGGGCATGGTGGTGTGAGCCTATGATCCCAGCGCTTGGGAGGATGAAAACAGGAAGATCACTACAAGTCCAATCTGTGTAGTGAGACCCTGTACACCCTGTCCTAAGTACAAAAAAAAAAAAAAAAAAATCACATGAATTCAACATTATTTGTCATACTGCATAGTGTTATCTTCAACTTAGTTGTTTAGATTACCAGATATATTCATGCAAAACTGGAAGAAGTGGGGGAAAAGTTATAAGAATTTAGGAGAGAAAGAGAATCCACAGTACAGTTATCCAATCTTGCAAGATCTTACTTACCTCCCTAGATGTATCTCTCCCGGCTTCCCTCTCCTGTCCTTCTCATCTCAGTAGTTCCTCCCTTTTGAACAGATTGATTCCCTTTTCATGGTATCTGTTCTTCTTTTCAGGTTTTATGTACTCTTTCAGGTTCTTACATCACTTCTCTACATAACAAACCAAATGGAGTGTCAGGTATCTAACTCAACTTCTGCAAAGTAGAATAACCAATTAGAAACTGATAGTTTCTCTAACTCATTTTTATTTACTAAAGCAGTCCTGAAAACATTTCCTCAAGAAGACTGAAAGTCCAGAACTTGTCTTAACTGAGAAAGCTAGGAGCAGGAGCCTGATCTTTACATTAAAGGAGTGGGTTAAACAAACCCAAAGAATGTTTAAATTATTTATGCTGGTCTCTGAGCGACTCAGCAGCGGGCCTATCCTGAGAGGCTGCGGTAAAGCCTCCAAAGAAGATTCGAGAGCTTGGTAGCTTTGATTGAAAGCCCAGCGAGTGGCAACTTTGAACCCAGAGTCATGAGCGACAGCGGCAAGCACAACTACAGCGAGCGGGAATCCCGTTCTGCTTTCAGAAGTGGAAGTGCTCACGGGTCAGGGAAATCTGCAAGGCATACATACCTCTGCAGGGTCTGGCTCCAAGGAAGATTCCAGGCATTCCAGATCAAAGTCCAGGTCCAGATCTGAATGTAGGTCTAGATCCAGAAGTTCTCGAAGGCATTATACAAGATCACAGTCTCAATCTCGTTCTCATAGACATTCCCACAGCAGGTTTTATAGTCGAGATTATCGCAGATGCCACAGCAATTCTCCCATGTCTACTGGAAGGCGTCATGTTGGGAATCGGGCGAATCCTGACCCAAACCGTTGTCTTGGAGTGTTTGGGTTGAGTTAGTACACCACAGAAAAAGATTT